CAGGTAGTTCTGTGTGTCTCAGACCAGAACTTTCTCCCTCACATATCTGCAAGTGTTTTCACTTTGCTTGACTTTCTTTTCTTTTGAGTTATGGTCTCTTTATGTAGTCCAGGCTGTCCTCGAACTTGCAATCTTCTCACCCTGGCCCCCCAAGTGCTGGGATTGCAGGCATATGCTGCTACAATGAGTCTTACGAATGTATAAATTCGATCTGAAGTCTTCCTTTTTGGTATTTCCTAATTTTGAATGTTTCAAAATCTTATGTCATTTCTTCCTAAATGAGGCTTCACATTTAAGTCCTAACATGGCGAGAAGGGAAAACAGTTCTGGCCCATTTTTTCCCCCTCTTCTGCTCTTTAGCAGACCTACAGACTGTTTTCTGGATTAGTACTAATTCCTGTGTTCCCAGTTAGTGGTCTCAAATAGGAAAATTGGCCTGGTAAATGTAGTTTGTTTGGCTTACACAGTGTTCTAAGAAAAACATGGACTAGTTCTTAGCATTTTGGAATGTTTATATAAGAATGCATCTTTTTGGCTTTAATTGAAAACTTAGTAAGCATGGTGTGATGGTTAATTTCCATAGACAGCTAGAGTGGAATTGGAGTCACTTAGGAGAGAGAATCTGAGCATGTCTTTGAGGGCATTCCCAGAGAGGTTTCACTGGGCAGTGAGGACTCTCACCTTAATCAAGGCCCCAGCATTGGGTAGAATCCTAAGCTGTACAAAAATGGAAAAGGGAGAAAGCAGGCCAAGAAGCAGCAGTGTCTCTCCCTGCTTTCTGACCGCTCACAAGACGGGAGGGAGCAGCTGCCGCACGTCCTGCTGCCAAAGCTGGCCTGGCCTCACCACCCCGCCCCATCACGACGATTGTTCTTCCCTCTCTCAGTTAAAAGATCATCGCATTTAGCTATTTGCACTTATTTATCTGCTCTCTGTGTGTATTTTGGAAAGGGGACATGCATCCTGTGTCACGGTGTGTGTGTGTGTGTGTGTGTGTGTGTGTGCCTGTGGAAGTCAGGGGACAGCTTTCAGTCAGCTCAGCAGGTTAGGTACTGAGCCTTTACTCACGGAACCATCTTACTTCATGGGAAAGGGAAAGGGCTCGTCCTCCCTTTCTTGAATTGCTTTTGTCCAGCATCTTGTTGAGTGTGTTATAGCTATATCCCTGGTAACAATGGGTCTATGCACTTCCACAGGGATTATTAGCTGCTAGCTGTTCCCATTAGAGAAGGTGTGAACTTTTTGTTTTTCTGTAACCACCCTCCTCTCCCCCACACAACTGCCATTTATTGAGGCTGCTTGTCTGGTTAGCATTAACCATCTCACTTTTGCCTCTCCTGACACTAGGCCTCTGCAGTGCCTCCATGTGGGGTCATTTAAATTCAGTTTGTAAACTTTTCTACATCTCTGATAGGAAGCCCTTCTCAAGGCCGATTGCCTGGGAGGCTCTGGGGTTCCCTGGAGAGAGCAGAGCTGCAGGCAGAATGGACATCACTCCGGGGCTTCCCTTGTGTGTGAGTATCCTGAGGAAGGCCCTTCACCTCTTTGGTCCCCAGTTCCTTCATCTGTAAAATGAGGATAACGGTGGGGGTGGTTATGAGCGTGAAAGGATATGGTGAACACAGGGCTGAAGGGAGTCAGGAAGCCCCAGAGAGTGAGAAACTCCTCTGATAAACCCTGAGATCCCAGGAATAGTTCAGGGCCTCTCCTGTTAGGCTCTGGTGTCGTCTACTCATAACGCATGCATAAGGACACGCTCAGATGTCTGGACACACGTAAGAAAAAGATGCGATGCTGGTATCAGTACTCTTCCTGAACTCTTACAGTTTTTCTTTTAAAAAATGTGTTTTAGCTGGGTGCACGCCTTTAATCCCAGCACTCAGGAGGCAGAGGCAGGCAAATCTTTGTGAGTTTGAGGCCAGCCTAGTCTCCAAAGAGAGAGTTCCGAAACAGCCGGGGCCACAAAGAGAGACCCTATGTCTTGCAACAAAACACACACAAATGTATGTTTTAAGCAATCTTCAAGTTTGCCTACCAAGTTTTGGGTTCTATCATGGCATCTTTACACATGTGTCACCCTTTGTGATCAATCACGTTGCTCCTTTGCTGTCCTCTTCTTCCCTCTGTCCTCTCAGCTGATCCCTTTGTTCCTCCTGTGAGTCCATCCGCCAGTCTCTGCATGTAATCCCCCCCCCGTGTCTTACCCTCCTTACATCTTACCCTTCTTTTCACAATCCCTTTTTCTAATTTTCTCTCTCCCAGTCTCTCTCCGTGTCTGTCTGTCTGCCACACACACACACACACACACACACACACACTTATAAATTTAAGTCCTACATATGAGGCTAAACACATGTTATCTCTCTGCAATTCATTTGTTTCACTTAATGATTATTTGCAGTTGCATTCATTTTCCTGACAATGCCACTTGGTTTTTCTTTATGATTGTACAAAATATCATAGTGTATAATCGCCACATGTTTTTTATCTATTCATCTGCTGATGTTTACCTAAGATGGTCCCATTTCCTGGTTTTTATGAATAGTGAAGCTGTAAATATGGATGTGCAATCTTTATTATGTTACCTTGGAGGCCTTTGGGTATATATCAGCAGTGACAATACTGGGTCATATAGTAATTCTATTTTCAGGGTTTGTGTGTGTGTGTGTGTGTGTGTGGTTTTTAGAAACAGGGTTTCTCTGTGGCTTTGGAGGCTGTCCTGGAACTAGCTCTTGTAAACCAAGCTGGTCTTGAACTCACAGAGATTTGCCTGCCTCTGCCTCCTGAGTGCTGGGATTAAAGGTGTGCGCCACCACCATCCAGCACATTTGTCAATTCTTTGGATTTTCTCCTGTGTTATTGGAGTCCTGACCAGAAAGTCTTCGTGCCTCTACGGTTTTTCTTTATTTTTTAAAAATATATCCTGATAAGTTTCATCTCTCTTCACTCTTCCTAATTTCTCCCCACCTCTCCTCCCATCCAGATCCCCTCCCTTTCTGTTCATTAGAAAGGAACAGGCTTCTAAGAGATAACAACCAAACTTAGCAAAATAAAGTAAGATAAAACAAAAAACCATCACATGGAAGTTGGACAAAGCACCAACTGAAGGAAAAGAGCCCCCAAGAATCAGAGACTGAGTTCACATACACAGGAGTTGCACAAAAACACTAACGTGAAAGCTATAGTGTGTGTGTGTGTGTGTGTGTGTGTGTAAATAGAACGCACCTGCTGCAGACCCATGAAGGCCCTGTGTCTGATGCTTTCATCTCTGTGAGCTCATAGGAGCTTTGCTCAGTTGATTTAGAGGGCCCCCCTTTTTTTCTGGTTGTCCTCTATCCCTTTGGCTCTTACACTCTTTCTGCCTCATGTTCCTTGGGATTCCCTGGGATCTGAGGGGAGGGATTTGATGGAGACATTCCATTTAGAGCTGTGTATTCCAAGGTCTCCCTCTCTGTGCCATGTCTGGCTGTGGGCCTCTATATTTGTTCCCATCTGCTACTGGAGGAAGCTTCTCTGATGATGGCTGAGTAAGGCACTGATCTGTGAGTACTGCAGAATATCATTACATCATTACCGGGTCATTTTATTGGTTTTTTTTTTCCAGTAGTATTTGGTTTTATCCTAAGCCTCTGGGCTGGGCTATCTGGTCTCTGTTTCTTGTTTCTTTTTTTTTTTTTTTTTTTTTTTTTTTTTTGAGGCAGGGTTTCTCCGAGGCTTTTGGAGGCTGTCCTGGAACTAGCTCTTGTAGACCAGGCTGGCCTCGAACTCACAGAGATCTGCCTGCCTCTGCCTCCCGAGTGCTGGGATTAAAGGCGTGCGCCACCAACGCCCGGCTCTGGTCTCTGTTTCTTGATCACCCAAGATGGTTCCCATCTCACAGAGTGGACCTTAAGTCAGAGCATACAATGCTTGGTTACGCCTACAGGTTTTGTGCCCCCACTCCCCTAGTGCATTTTGCAGACAGGACAGATTGTAGAACAAAGGTTTTGTGGCTGAGTTAGTGTTTGCATTTTGTGGCTGAGTTAGTGTTTGCATTTCTCTTTTGGTAGCCTGCAGAGCACCTTCCTGTACCAAAGACACTAGAACGTAAGGGCAAAGGTTCAAAATGTTACATTCATTATGTGTTTGTGTGTGAGTGTGGGTCCATATACATGTCAAAGCACATGAGAGGAATTTGTTCTCTGCTTCAGTCATGTGGGTCCTATGGAATCACACTCAGATTCAGGCTTGGTGGCGAATGCCTTTACCGAGCCATCTCTGTCCTAGAATGTCTAGTCTACATGTTGAAGTCTTTCACCTCCAACAGTTTCAAAATTTTAGCTTTACAGTAAGGTATTTGATCCATTTTGAATTGATTTATTGTGCAGGGTGAAGAGAAAAGTGTCTAGTTTCATTCATCTACATGTGGGAATCTGGGGTTTCTAGCACCGTGGTTTTGCCTCCATTGTATGCGTTTGACATCTTTGTAAAAAAAAAATTAGGTGCCTATAGCTGTGTAGTTTCTTTCTGGGTCCTCTATTCTGTTTCAGTGGTCCACAGATCTGTTTTGTGCCCGTACTAGGCTGTTTTTGTTCCTGTGGCTCCATATGTAATTTGAAGTCTTATATTGTGACATCCTGAGGATTGCCTTTTCTACTAAGAAGAGTCTTAGCTATTCAGAGCCCTTTGTGCCCCCTCATGAATTTATGATTGCTTTCCCCAGTGCTCTGAAGGACTCATTGGAGGTTTGATGGAGATTTCTTCGAATCAGCAGACTGTTTTCATTGGCATAGGCATTTCCACAATACTACCTCTGCCAGTCCGTGGGCACGGGAGAGCTTTTCGTCTCCTATTGTCTTCTTCGCAGGCTTCATTTTTATTAAGTTTTCAGCTACAGAGCTCCTTTTCTTCCTTGGTTTCATTCCTACTTTTTAAAAGCTATCGCGAGAGGGACCGCCCAACCCCCAATTTCTTCCCTGCTTAGCACATTAGCTGATAGTCTATAGGAAAGCTATTTATGTACTTGCTTTGGCAGCATGTATCCTAAAAGATTGGAACAATACAGAAGAGATTAGCATGGATCGTGTTCAAGAATGCAGCAAAAATTCATGAAGTGTTCCATATTAAAAGAAACGAAGATGGGCAGTGGTGGCACATGCCTTTAATCCCAGCACTTAGGAGGCAGAGACAGGCAGATCTCTGTGAGTTCAAGACCAGCTTGGTCTACAAGAGCTATTTCCAGGACAGCCTCAAAGCCACAGAGAAACCCTGTCTCAAAAAACCAAAAAAAAAAAAAAAAAAAAAAAAAAAGGAAAGGAAAGCTACTGACTTTTGCCTATTGCTTTTTTCTTCTTCTTTTGTAATGGTGGACATTACACACAGGATTTCACATGTTAGGCTGCGACGTCTCCTTTTCCTGACCCTTTGCTCCCTTTCCCATGTTTTTAGGGAACTTGTAGTCACTGGGACCAGGAATAATCTATCCATCTATCTATTTATCTATCTTTCTCCTCTTCCTCCTCTTCCTCTTCCTCTCATTCTCCTTCTCCTCCTTCTTCTTTTGGTTTTTCAAAATAGGGCTTTTCTGTGTAGTCTTGTCTGGAAACCCCTCCACACTGGAGACTGGAACAAGAGGCTCAGGGATTCTAATTACACAGGCGGACTCTGCTTTTGAAAGTCAGTAAAACTGGCACAAGTTCTTCTAAAGCTGAGAACTTGGGCTTTGCTTATTTGCAATCCAAAAGTAAACAAACCACAGGAAATCATGTGGTCAGTCTCTTGCCTTAAATACCCCAAACCACAACTTTTCATTGCTATTTAGGGAGAAATACAGGACTCCACTGTAATGCACAAGGTCCTGAGTTCAATGCCAGCCTGGGTGGTGTGGGGAGTGCAAGGATTCTGCTTTGGGCATAGGCAGAATGTTCTTTTCAGGGTCTTAGTTTCCATTCTTGTCCACTTTTTTCCCCCAGACGACTGCTTTTCAGTGCAAATAAGTCAAAATAAAATATAATTTGCCTGTCACAGACTGACATGACAGGTGAGCAGACAAAAAATCTAAAAGAGGTGACAACCACTAAAGAAAATGCCATCAAAACCTCCAGACAGTACAATACAAGCACACAGTGTAAACAATGCAATAGTTAGAAATACAATGTAGCAACATGTACACTCAGCAGTGGAAGCAATCCTCACACCTCGGCGAGGGGAAACTGAGGGTGCTTTCCTTGTTTCAAGCTGTGTGGAGGACCTAACATCCCCCTTAAGACTAGAAAGGCAGCTCCATGATAAAGTACATGCTTAGCACATACAAGGTTTTGGATTCAATCCACAGCACATAAGGAAAGAAAAGAAACTCTCTTGAAAACACAGAGCATCTCTGTGCCTTGAACCTTTTCTGTCTTAATGCGTGGCTTTGCAAAGGAAATGCTTGTCCAATCAGCAAAGTTTCTATTCACAGACTGTCACGTGCCACTTTGTGGTTACCTGGAAGGAGAAAAGGTCATAACCCTTCATTCAGACTATGTGAAACTAGGTAAGTGTTCAAATGATTAGTTTCAAATTCAAATCTTTGAGTTTAAGCAGCAGATCCTTGCTGTTTATTTGAAGGGTTGTGAATAGAGCAGAGGAGGGACACATGAATCTGTGGAATTTGGCTGTGAGTACAGTCCCTTATCACTCATACTGTACATGATGTTAAGTACGGTTTGAAGATAATTATTGTACTTTTTATTTTTTTTTCTCTGAACCTACTTCAAGTCTCAGCAACTACTGAATGAAGGAGAGTACAAAAGACATTGCAAGCTGGACGTTGGTGGCACATGTCTTTAATGCCAGCACTCGGGAGGCTGAGGCAGGCTGGTCTCTGTGAGTTCGAAGCCAGCCAGTTCTATAGAGCGAGTTCCAAGAAAAGAAACAAAAGACATTGCATATTTTAATTGTTTTTAAGTTCGCTTATGTGTACCAGCATTTTGCCTGCGCACATGTGTGCGTGCCTCGTGCCTTTGGAGGCCAGAAAAGTGAGTCAGTGAAAGGATTCAGGCATTATGCTGGCCTGCCCCTGTCCCTTGGTAGAATGCACTCAGGCAGTATCCTGGTTAGCCCAGGGTTCCATGGCTATGCAGTCTGCAAGCAGGTGCAAAAGACCCCTTTTAAAAAAAGACGCCCGCCCCCACTTCGCTCTCTTCCCTGCTGTTCCCCTGGGGCAGACAGGACTTTTCCTGTCTCACTCTTCTCTTTGGTCCTGTCTCTGTCTGTGTCTCTTTACCTTATTTTCTTACCTCCCCCTCAATAAAACTTTCAATGAGTCACGTCTACAGGTCTCTGTTTCCCCCATCTGGTCCTCGTCCACCACCCGGTGCCGACCTTGGAACTGGGGCCCTGCCACATGCAGTCCCTACCCATCATTCTTTATTCCTAACAGTCAGTTCACCTGGAACTAGAGTTACTGATGGCGGTGAGCTGTCATGTACATGCTGGGAACTCGTGGTGGGTCTTATGGAAGAGCAAGTGCTCTGAACAAGTGAGCGCACACACACGCGCGCGCACACACACACACACACACACATACACACACAGCATTTTATTGCCTGTATAAAAGTCTTACAGTCATTTTGCCAAAATCTGCTTAACTACTAAAACACAAAACTTAATGCTATTTTATTATAGGTATTTATTACTGTTTGGAATGTTGGTTTAAGATTTTGCGAATTGAAGATCATGCTCCTGGTTTTGTTACTGTAATAGCTGTAATAGCCGCCATTGCTGAAAAGGTGTTTCAAAAAACTATTTTGATTTAAATGGAAGAAATGCCTCGATGTTAGCCATATCTGCTAAGGAGCTCATTTTTATTTTCAGTTCTAACAACCAACTCTGTGACGGCTTTGGTTGGAGTTCCATTAGTAAATCCCAGCCTCTCTGCTATAGATCAGTTATTTCTCAAAACAAAAACTTTGCAGATGACCTTTGCAACAGATATGGCTGGGACTCACTGACGTTCATCATTTGGAAAATCTTTAAATAAGTGGAAAACCGTCCCTCCAATTTTTTAAATGCTTATAGAATTTAATATGTCTTTTGCTCACTTACACATTGAATTGTTTATCAAAGAAAATATACATTGAGCAGGGAGAGCATGGTGGCCCACACCTACAATCCCAGCATTCAGGAGGTGGAGACAGGAGGAGCAGGGGTTTGAAGCCAAGCTAGGCTACATAGAGAACCCATCTAAAAAAATATACCCAACTAACAAACAGAAACTCCCAAAAGCTGGGGATGTAGATCAGCGATAGAATGCGTGGTTAGCATGTGCAAGTCTCTGGGATTGTTAATTTAATTTTTACAATGGAAGTATTTCTAGGCCTTTTCAAAATGTTCCCCTGACAGTACTTCTTCATATATATACTTAAAAGTAGTGGCACAAGGGAATCACTCCCTAGATCATTGCCAATGTCATTCCAGCTTATACCTGCCCCTGCCCCCAGTCCCTGGGGACTTCAACCACTAAGGCACAGAACACACAGGCCAGAAGGGATGAGTGACCTGCCTTCCAGCAGAACTATACCTCTAACCTGATTCTGCCCTCAGGGACTATTCCTCAGGGACTATTCCCCAAGCCTATTCCCCATCCAACCCAGCTAGCATCCTGCCATCTCTGGGCTCTCCCAAATCCCAGAATATTTCTACCAAACAAGCCCAGGACACACAAGCTGAAATGGGTGAGTGACCCACCTACCAACGGAACTGTACCCCTCCTTGGAGAAGATACCAGAAAATGTAAAGATCTCTCATGTTCATGGATTAGCAGGGTTAACATAGTAAAAATGGTCATTTTACAAAACAATCTACAGATTCTCCACAATTCCCCTCAAAATCAATTCCCCTCAAAATTTCAACATAATTCTTTACAGACTTTGAAAGAACAACACTCAGATTCATGTGGAAAACTCCAAAACCCAGGATAGCTAAAATAATCCTGTACTGCTGGAGATATCACCATCCATGATCTCAAGTTCTACTACAGAAACATAGAAATAAAAACAGCATGCTATTGGCATAAAAAGACAACATTGACCAACGGAATCAAATTGAAGACCCAGACATAAATCCACACACCTACGGACACTTGATTTTTGATGAAGAAGTCAAATGATTCAATGAAGAAAAGAAAGCATCTTCAACAAATGGTGCTGGTCTAACTGGATGCCAGCATGCAGAAGACTGCAGATAGATCCATATGTATCATCCTGCAGTCCAAGTGGATCAAAGACCTCAATATAAACCCAGATACACTGAACCTGACAGAAGACAAAGTGGGGATAACCCTGAACATACTGGCACAGGAGACGACTTCCTGAATAGAACACCAGTAGCACAGACACTAAGATCAACAACTAATAAGTGGAACCTCATGGAACTGAAAAGCTTCTGTAAGGCAAAGGACAAAGCAGCAGCCTACAGAATGGGAAAAAATCTTCACCAACTCCACATCTGACAGAGGGCTGATCTCCAAAATATATGAAGAACTATAAAAAACTAGATATTAAAAAAACCAAATAATCCAATTTAAAAATGGGATACAGTTTAGGCAGAGTTTTACATCATGACTGCTGGTCAGCTCTGTCATGCCAACCACTCCCAAACAACCACACAGAGACTTAATATTAATTATAAATGCTCTGCTGATAGCTTATGCTTGTTACTAACTACCTATTATAACTTAAATTAGCCCATTTCTATTTATTTACTTGCTGCTGAGCGGCTCATGGCTCATTACCTCATTTTGTACACGTCCTGCTTTCTCTGCTTCTGGCTGGGGACTCCAGAGATTCCTCTGATTCTGCCCTTCCTCCTCCCAGCATCCTCTCTCCTGGAAAATCCTGCCTAGCTATAGACCGTCAGCTCTTTATTAGCCAATGAGAATAATACATATTCATCCATTTGTACATATTCATGTACAAAAAGATTGTTCCACAGTAGTATAGACCTAAACAGAGAATTCTCAACAGAAGAATCTCAAATGGCAGAGAACAGTTAAAGAAATATTTATCATCCATAGCCATCAGGGAAATGCAAATCAAAACTACTTTGAGAGTCCATCTTATGCCTCTCCGAATGGCTAATGGGAGT